CTTGTAGATAAAGACGTTTTATGTATTTCTTTCAAATAATTTTCCAATACCTAGGAAAAACATCTAAAATATTTCACAAACAGATTTGACGTTAAACTGAAAATAAAAGTTTCCAGCACAGTAGCCGCATATGCACCACAAAGGAAACACTCAAGCCTCTAATAAAAGCGGCAAAAACCTTTCATTAGCAATATACCCTTCTAACGGTTTGCACAAGTTTTTCAACTTTCTTTTCGCAATCTCTGGCGTCTCTTCTGCTGAGATAACTTTGTAGGTATTACGCCGCGGCGTATTGTCTTTGTGGGTCAAGCCTTGTGAGTAAGGAAAACAGATAATAGATTGTTTTTTTTTATTAGATATTTGCTTGGATCTTTACCTTATTGTTACGAGGTATAAAATGGGGTTTTCAAAGGATTGTGAAGAAGGGTAATGAAAACTGCCTTTAATAGTTATCGAAAAGTCAGAAAAAATACAACAATTCTGCATTAACAAATAAAACTAGCAAATTCGAGAAAAATTACAAAACGGCCAAAAATAGCCAAGACTCTATAGAATATGACACACATTTGGAAATGCTATAATTGGTCAGTGAGCAAATCTAGTTTTGGACAAAACTATGTAGTTATAAACTTGTGTAGTTCTATAATGGAATGTAAGTTATATAGAGGAAGTTTTATTTATGCCTCCCATTCATCCGTTACTTGAGTTAAGGCATTAGGGCAAGCATTTCCGACGTCATCAGCGAGAGAGAAGTAGAAATATTTTGCTCCCTTTGTCCATCTGAGCATTTTTCCTTTTTTTTATCACAGCATTCATACTAAGAGCAAGGGCGTATAGAATATTCTAGATGAATATAAAACTCGTATGATTAGAACGATTGGGTCTACGATACGACCTCCAATATTTCACACTCGTTATTGTAAACATGTTCATAAGCGCACTTGTAATGTAAATAACTATTACATTTTATATAAATATTCAGCCATATGGCGGCATCTTTTGCCGGCTGAATTAATTATTTTATCGTTGGCCTCGAGAAAGGACTAGGCACTTTCTTTTGTACTATCTTGATCTACTCGACGTAGTACTTTGTTGCTTTTTAACCTCGTTAATGGTTTCCCAACGTAGAACTTTCCACATAGCTCAGAGTTGACAGGATGATAGGTTTTTCTTCAAAAATGTCAAGTGAAATCTATTTATTTTGGAAGAGAAAATTGAAGAGCCCTTTTCTAATCTTGCCGTTGCCCCAAAAAGGTCGACTGTGGCTGGGCTGGGGGCAGCCATCTTCCTCAAGTGTAATTACCGTTCTCATGGAAAAAAGTACCTTATCGGCCTTCAGGCAACGAAATTCAGTTGCGTAAGACAATGATCCGTTGATTGCCAAAAAAATTTGAATCAAAAGTCTTGTGATTATCATCTTATTTAAGTTTGAATTTCGAACCCACTAGCGGTGAGTTTTTTTTAAAGAAATAGCTTTTCAAGGAATGCATCTATTACCTAGGGTCTTCCGAAGAGCCGTTTCTTCCAACAAATTTATTCCTGAAAGCCAATATTTTCAATAGGAACACTATTTCCGTGGAGTGTGGCATAAAGCTTTTGAAGGGATTCCTACAAGAATCAAGACCTCACGAGTCGATACGTGTGCCCCACATTTGACGACAACTGAGAACTTCTAGTCTCTTAGCTACCTTGATTCAAGGCTAGAATCTACACCTTCCAAGAGCAGTTTCCTCCGTCAAATGAACGAGAATGGATGGCTACCGTGCTCCACCTTATGTTGGAATGGAGGCTTGTATAAAGTTTCATTAATAACTTATAATGCCTTTTTTTACAAAATTAGTTTTATAGTCAATTAACAAAATTTAGATATTTTTTTTATATGATTTTCATACACCTTCAAAATCTCTTATTCTTGACACCGAGGCGATAGTGGAAAATTAGTTTTCGATTTATCGAGTTTATTATGGATTTGTCTTTGCATAACTTTTAATATCTCCATAATTAAATAATGTACTTATATTTTATCATTTTTATCAATAATAATCGATCAGTAATCTGAACAAAAGTCAAGGTTGGATAACATGTTCTAAATTTGAAATTGTTGAGTAAGAGCCTACCGTCGAAAATTGATCAATTTTTGATCCGAGGTCCTATAACTTATATATTGGAGGATTTCCCCTTATATCTCTAGACCATTTAACCGTTATATAACCCAACTTTCGATTTTTCACAGGTACAAATTGATTTTTTTTTAATTTGTTTTTTTTGCAGAAGCTGACCATATTTATCAATATAATTTTTCAATCATCCAATTTTTTTTAATTAGTTATCTGGAAACATAAATGATAAATGAAAGTGATGATATGGCCAGCGACTGAATGAATTTATATGGCAATTATATTGAGGTGCATTGTTATTATACTATTATTTTATTTTTTTGAGCTTGACGAATCTGATTGAAAGTTAACCTCTTTTATTTGATTTGATCTAAGGTTTTTCACCAACAATAATTTATTTTATATTTTGAATCTATGTGTCAAGATTTGAGTTATGTGCCTTATTTATTTCCTTCTCAGAATTACCAATTACCGTTTGCTGGTTATTTTCTAGGTGTGTTTCTGAATATTCAATCTTCCATATTTTTAAGCACTTTTATAATTATTATTATTTTTGAAAATTCAGTGGCGCCCTTGCCATTCTGTACTCATTAAACTACCAACCCACCCCTAATAATTATTTGCTGAGCAAACCGAGCATATTATGGGCCACTTGTTAATTCATTAGCAAAAGTGGTTACAAAACACACGCACATGTATCAACTTCCTTAGAGACGCCACAGCGACATGTTGAGCGTCGGACCCCCCCGAAGCCACATGATTTTTGTCGGACATATATGATATCGTTAATGTAACATAAAAAACAGTCGATTGGCATTGAAACTACACGTTCATGTATCAACTTCCTTAGGGACGCCACAGCGACATGTTGAGAGCGTCGGACCCCCCTGAAGCGACGTGATTTTTGTCCGACAAATGTGATATCGATAATGGAATATAAAAAAAAGTCGATTGGCATTAAAACTACACGTACATGTATCAACTTCCTTAGAGATGTCGGAACGACAGCGGAAATGTCCCATCGCCCAGGGTGAAGATATGAAAAATGTTATCCGACTTGGTGTTATGAAGCCGCTCAGAAAGTTTGGCGTGTAAATGAGTTACAAAATCCAATGATTAATGTACTGGGGATTAGAATCCTTGAACGACGCCGGCTTGATAATTTTGAAACTAGAAACGATTTCCAGGAAGAGCTAAGAAGATGTAAATGTGCCAGCTGGAGAGACCAGAAACTTGGAAAAGTATGAAAACTTGAAGAAAAATTTCACAGTCCTTCCCATAGATGCAACCAGGGGCTCATAGAGAAGGATGAAGTAAAATTTTGTCGTTCCTCATACATCCTGCCTCCACTTTGTTTGCTGTTTTTGAGCCGTCGTTGTACATAACCCGTCCATCAAGCAACAGAGGGAGCGGTTTCTTTTCCCACGTGTTTGGGTCGCACCTCAGAGGGGTCGCACTCGATCTCATACGGTCTTTAAAAATTGAAAGTTCTCATTATGTGATTCTATTTCATTTCCAATAGTTCGTTGTCTATGACATGTGTCCCTTTTATCTGTCCGTATTTGCCTGGCTGTGACTCTTCCAGGCTGTAGGCCGTGATGCTGGCCTCTTTTTCAATCAAGAGGCTCTAGTCCCATGATTATATTTCCATCGCCGCCATGGGATTACTACCCATGGTCACCATACGGCGGTCCCGTATGTTTTCATGTTATGTATAGCCAGTACACCATCTTGGGTTTCAGGCCTCAGGTTTTTGCCAAACATGATGTGCCTCATATGAGATGCAGGCACATCTTTGCTTTGTTTATAATCATCTGGATTTGTTGGTTCCATGTCAATTTATCGTCTGGGATTTGGCCCACATCATGTTTCACTTTATTAACAGTTTTTATACTTTCACCAAAGATCTTCAAGTTGTTATAGGTTCCAGCTAATCGCTTCTTGGTGAATGGTAGAATCGCTATTTTCTCTGCCCTTATTGTGATCTCCTCACACCATCTCTACCCTATGGATAACCTCGAGTTGCAGATATCTTCAAGATCTCTCCGTATAAAGTGGTACGAATCTGTCGGCTTTGGAGCATGTTTCGTATCCACCTACAAGTGGTGTCGTCTTGGCACCCCGTACTAATATAACAGTCACATTTTCAATGTTAAAAATCTCGTTTGCCAACCACATATTCAGTTAAATTTATACCTCTCCTGAAAATTCTGATGGGTTCATCAGCATTGATATTTTTATTCTGTCCAGGGAAATGCGTCCTATCATTCAGTCAATTAGTTAGTAATGGGAAAAATGATTTTGTATTTGTTTATAAATCGCTGAAATTGCATTTATTACCAAATGTTTCTCTATTGACGCAATATGCCTTTACTGACACAGAATCATTACAATAACCAAATAAATCAGCGTGAGCAATCCACAAATCAATCATTACGCAGCACAACAGATATTTGATAGTGCCAAAATTAGGTAAATTTCCATTCATTGCATTTCCGATAAATTTATTCCATGAATAAACGAAACAATTAATAGATTTGTTACCCTACATTATCTGCAGTTTCATTTGCCCCTTATAACCAAACTAAGCAAAAAATAATATTTTATAAATTATTGAAGGCCTATATCTTTAAGGTAGCCAAAAAAAATCTTAAATGTTATTGAGTTCAATAAATTGTTCAATTTTTAATAAGTCACGGCTCGGACCAAGGGATCATCCCTACGCTGTTCGTTTATGCACATATGTTTTTGAACATTCGCATATTACTTTTGTGATACGACCTCCACTAGAAAAACAATGGGGTGGAAACGATGGCAGAGATATATTTATCAAAACGGAGTGGCAGCATGTGTTGCCTGCCTAATAAATAAAACAATACTCACCTGAATCGACAACGGGGTTTTTATCGAGTTATCTTTCTCGGCAACGGTAATGTTACCAACATATCCCCGGTCTGCCCACTTGTTAATGGCGTTTTTCACTTTTTTTTCTTCCTTTTTGGGACCGAACACTTGAAAGGTAACGTCGGCACCAGACATGTAATGGCTGAAATTTAAAAAAAAAAATGCCGTAAGTTGTTGTGAAGTGAGATTAATATATTCTGGTATATTACAGCCTTGCGTCATATACCTACTACTTTATTAGTTACACTTTTGCAAAGGTGAGTCAATTAGTAGCTACCTCTTAAAAATTGTATACATAATAAAAAACTGTGTTGTTTTTGTAAATATAATAGGGATATTATTGCGTCGTTGTTATATTTATCACATTATCTAGTAGATGATCATTAGATGATCCTGATTTTGAAATATGTTGTTTAATCACAACCCGAGTGATTCGAATATTGAGAGGAAAAATAATTTCAAGAATTCAAACTTTCCAGTAGAAATTCCAATGATTCTTTTCAATTTTATTCTGGGATCCGAATATGCAGCGCAATAAATCCCTCGGAAGTGAAATGCAAAATGTAACCAATATGAAATGTTGGCGGTAAATTGCGGACGGTGAATAACTCGGTCATCAAAAACTCTGGACGCCTGATAATACTAGATGAAAAAGAAAGGAACAAATCACTAATAATTCATTTTGATGTCACTGTCACGGAGAAAATCGTCTCAATTCGCCCTGACAAAGTTGAATGGGTATTATACCTTTTCTTTTATCCGCCATTTTCAGATTTTTATTAAATCCTCCTTGGCAATTGACATGACAATCATAAGGATTGGGATGAAAAACTTTTTTGATTGAAACTCAATTCAAACACTGGAATATAAGTACGGAGTGGCCCGGTAAAAGTTTTGGAATCTATATAACCATCAAATTTATTGATAAAATCGGAGGCGTAAATCAGATTGATAGCGGCTTTACATTATATTAAGATTTATTGACTTTTTTTCCAGAAAAATGTTATAAAAAGTTTGATCATTTATCAATATTTCATTATCTTACTAAAGGGTACAGTCCACTAAGGCAAATTATCAGAAAATAAGCATTTCTCGAACAAATATTTTGAAATTTCGGATGTAGTTTCCGATTATTGCTTCATAAATTTCGATCAAGCGATTTCAAGGTAATTAGATTTCTCATATGTATTTCAAGACCAGAAACATATGGTCAAAACGTCGTTGGTCAACTAACATTAACGTCTTTCTTTTTCTGTCCCATTTCCGCTACTCCGCTACTTCTATTTTCGCTCTTACGTACGTTCTGATGACACCATTATCAGGTGGTGACATAATTTCTCTCTGTCATATTCTTGAATTTATTCAGGAACTTAGTAATATTGTTCTAATTTTCAGATTAATAAAGTTAATATAGTATTCTGAATTTCGAAAACTAATTTTTTGAAAATGAAAAATATCTGGTAGCTCCTCATAATAATTCAAATTCAAACCGGTCGCACAAATCTGCATGTACTATAATGCTCCTTTGATTTGATGGTATCAAAGGATCATCTATGTTGTTCTCCTATGAAACAGCTAGAGCAAAATGGCTTTTCATTATCAAATATTCTAATCAGATTCTTTCCAATCATGAAAACTCAGTTTGCGAGCTCTTGAATGAGATAATAGTGTTACGAACATGCATCGACAACCCGGCCTGGATTATAATAAATTTGGCACTTGTTTACGTCGGGCAGCACGCCTTTTCGATTCGATGTTTTTCTAGATAGATCCGGAGTGCGATTTTGACTATAGATATCGCGCAGTAATAAGTTTAGTTTTAATTCGATATTCGTCGTGTATGTTTCGATGAGTGATAAGTGAATTTTCTAGTCAGTTAGTTCAATTAAAATTATTACTATTTTTGAAGTGACTTAGTGAGCCCGGAGTCCGTGACATTTGGTGTCAGAAGTGAGATTACTAGTAACATATTTGGCCTATTTGGGGCATTAATATGAGCAAATTACTAGTTTGATATAACTAGTGCGATTATTAGCAAATAATGGTGTATTAATTGGAGCTTATTAGTGGGAAAATCAGTGAACTTTTATTGAACTGAAATAGTGACTCTTTCACCGTACTTGACATCGAAAAACAAGTTCAAAAGCGGATTTTCTGAAAAGTTCTAGAAAATTATATAGTATTATATTTGGAAACTGTACGTGATACGAGACTAAAGACTTTATCACTGATTTCGACATCGAAAAACAAGTCCACAAAGTGTTCAGAACAGTCCATCGTGGTCTAGTTGGAATTTTGACTTCGCCGCCAATTTCACTAGTAACAAAGAAAAATGGATCTACCAGAATTTGCGCCGATCACAGAAAGCCTAACGAAGTCACTAAAAAAGACATTACATTACCCATTACCCAGAACTGATGACGATACTCTTACGACACTGGCGGACCCAAATTGGTTTTCTACTTTTGACTTGAAAAGTGGATACTGGCAGGTGGGCATTGACGGAAGAGACAGAGATAAGACAGGTTTCTCCACTAAAAGGGGTCTCTACCAATTCAAGGTAATGCCTTTTGGACTCTGTAACGCACTCGCTACTTTTGAGAGGCTGATGGAAATCATAGATTTGTTCCAACCGGCAATAATTTCCAGTAATATTACTGGCACACATGCGCAATTGTGAAATGCTATTCCAACCAGTTAAAATTACTAATTTAGAATTAGCGATAATTGACAGTTCGTCGTTCCAACCGGAGTTACATTACATTACATTTACGGAGTAAAATTACGGTTCAAACGATTCTTGCTTGAAAGGAAGAACTGTTGGCTCTAAAATTAGACGCATGCATAGTGAGGTCGAAAACGGGTTAGTGGTTGAACAACAACAAACATAAATAATAATACATAACCCAGAACCTCAGTATTTTGTTTATTTAAATTATTTATTTGAAAATTACTGCTATAGAAGCTAAGTAATTTTATTTTATTTGTTCTCAGAGTTAATAAATCTGATTTTTGTCTTATATTAGATTTAGAAAAATTCTTTATTGTGGTGGAAGATGATTCACCTGCAAGTATGCAAGTTATGTTGATTTTGTTATTTGCATCTTGTGTCGTGATTACTACTAGTTCAAAAAACGTTCCAACAAGTTTTTAAGTTATTTAGTATAATATTACTGTTTTTGAGTGCGCAGTCGCATTAGTGCGGTTACGGACGATAATATTACAGTAATATTATTGCAGGTTGGAACAAACCTCATATAGTGATGGGAATAACTTTCGATGTGCAGCTACGAAACCTACAAGAAGTATTTACTCGTATCCGTGAGGCAAATCTCCGATTAAATGACAAGAAATATTTACTCTTCCAACATAACGTTGATTTTCTTGGCCAAGTAATTTCACCCGCAGGAATTCATACTGACGAAACTAATTCGTGAATGGCCTCGACCTCGGGACAAACATAAACTCAGAAGTTTCCTTGGGCTTTGTACATACCACAAACGATTTGTAGAAGGATTTGCTAAGATAGCAGCGCCGTTGCAATATTTTTGATTGAACTATCGACTGTGACGTAGCTTTTGGGAGGCTGAAGGCAGCTTTATGTTCCAGTCCCATATTAGGCTACCTAAGGGTATTTGGAAAATTTATTCTGGACACAAACGTGAGCAACACATATATCGGAGCGGAGCTGCCTTGTCGCAAATACAAGATGTTGAGGAATGAGTCATAAATAGAAAACAACCAGAGAAACAGGTGGCTAGCAAAATAGATAGCGAAGTTACAGCAATACAATTTCCAAATCAAACACCATTCTGGTGAACTGCATAATAACGCAGATGCCTTATCCAGGTGACCATGTCCAGCTCAATGCAAGAACTGCCTCAGAATAGACCAGCATGAAGGAGTTTATTAGAAGCATCCGATTTGAAACGGATCAAGAATGGAGTTCAGTCCAGCTTAGAACTGGCCAGGGTTAAAGGCATTACCCTAAAATAGGCAATAATTGCTTGCAAATTGGAAACGTGGTGTAAAGCAAGATCACATTTTGCCTTTCGTGCAACTTTTCAAGTCCCACTGACGTCATCTTTACACAATCCCCTAAGTCATTATGGTGGTCAATATGAAGTACAGGATTATTGATGTAGGAATGATATTTTCCTACGAGCGTGCGGAGAAGTTACTTTTTTACACGATTTTTCGTTTGGAAAGTTGTACTTTTCCGCACAATTTAACTTTTCCGCACGATTTTACTTTTCCGCACGATTTTTTTTACTTTTCCGCACGATTTTTACTTTTCCGCACGATTTTTACTTATATGCACGATTTATATATACTTTAAGGCAAAATATTTTAATCCAAGATATATTTTTTTTTAAAGGTAGGTACTATTTTTTACTTCAAATAAAACTAATACCTGTAGGTATTATTTTTCATTCAGAAAACCTGAAGTTGTACTTTTGCGCACCATTTTACTGTTTTGTACGATTTTACTTTTCCGCACGATTTTACTTTTCCGCACGATTTTTTTACTTTTCCGCACGATTTTTACTTTTCCGCACGATTTTTACTTTTACGCTTAATTCAAGATGTAGGTACTATTTTTCACTTCAAAGCAAATCAATGTCTTTAGGCCTTATTTTTCATTCAGAAAACCTGAAGTTGTACTTTTCCAGACGATTCTACTGCTTTGTACGATGTTACTTTTCCGCACGATTTCACTTTTCCGCACGATTTCACTTTTCCACACGATTTTTTCACTTTCCTTGGAATCAAATCAATATCTATAGGTATTATTTTTCATTCAGAAAACCTAGTTGTACTTTTCCGCACGATTTTACTTTTCCGCACGATTTCACTGTTTTGTACGATTTAACTTTTCTGAATGATTTTACTTTTCCGCACGATTCTACTTTTCCGCGCGATTTTTTTACTTTTCCGCACGATTTTTTTACTTTTCCGCACGATTTTACTTTTCCGCACGATTTTTCAACTTTTCCGCACGATTTTTTTACTTTTCCGCACGATTTTTTTACTTTTCCGCACGATTTCTACTTTTCCGCATGATTTTTACTTATACGCTTCATTCAGGATACCTATAGGGTACTATTTTTTCCTTCAAATCAAATGAATATCTATAGGTATTATTTTTCATTCAGAAAACCTAGTTGTACTTTTCCGCACGATTTTACTTTTCCGCACGATTTCACTGTTTTGTACGATTTAACTTTTCTGAATGATTTTACTTTTCCGCACGATTTTACTTTTCCGCACCATTTTTCTACTTTTCCGCACCATTTTTTTACTTTTCCGCACGATTTTATCTTTCCGCACGATTTTTTTACTTTTACGCACGATTTTACTTTTCGGCACGATTTTACTTTTCCGCACGATCTTTTTACTTTTCCGCACGATTTCTACTTTTCCGCACGATTTTTACTTATACGCTTAATTCAAGATATGGGGTACTATTTTTTACTTCAAATCAAATTAATATCTATAGGTATTATTTTTCATTCAGAAAACCTAGATCTTACACAGATCTTTTGATCAATTTTTGATAAATAATATGGACAAAAACACTCGTAGGAAAAACATTGTACCTAACTCTTGCGGAAAATGTCTTTTCCACCCTCGACTGCTCTTTCCGCACTAGTTAGGTAAATAACTATTAACCACTCGAAAAAAAAATAAAAATAAAAAAATAAATTTGGAAAAAAAACAATTTGTTCCAATTTTTATTATTTTTTTTGGGGTGGTTCTAGGACAGGCAGAAAATGGGGGTGCATTATAAGAATTCTTAAATATCGTTCCTAAATCAATAATGCTTGAGAATTTGACAAGCCTAGCATTAGCCCTCCAGATGATAGGAAAGGGGGTTGTTTAAATTTCAACACCTTGTATTTTGGAAACGTCGCACTTCCGACCATCGGTATCCCATCTCAAACTATTTCTCTATGGTTCCTCTATATACCTTAGCATTTTTTACCAGTTGAACGAGGACACCCTGTATTTGTCCACCATTGAGTGGTTCCTGTGCACAACTGACAACCTTCTCCCTCAAATTTTGGTTAGTGCTACTTCTGCTGTACACAACCACACCGCTTCACAGAACAGATTACTTTTTAACAGACCGTTGTTCTCCCATTCAGGTAGCACTGAGGAAGGCCTAGAAGCCGAAAGCGTGCTGCTAAGATACTTATTAAATTAATTTGCTCGAAGTACATTGGTTTGATTTTCCTGATCTTTCGACGAGCAACACAGCCACTCGACATGAATTATTTCAGCAAGTGGCCTGAAGGTTTCGTTATCCCAAATTAAGAAGCGTCTTCAGTTGCAAAAGTCCTACTCAATAATATTTTTTCTAGGATAGGAACCCCATTGGAACTTCATCCGGATCAAGGGCACAATTGCGAGTCGCGACTATTTCAAAAACTTTGCGACTTGCTAGGTATTCACAAGACCAGGTGGGGGATTCTCATCCTCTAGTCGCAACCTATCGTCTCGACTCACTCGTAGAAAGACAATGGGATAGTTGGGACGATAGGTTGCGACTAGAGAATGAGAATCCCTCACCAAGATCACGGCATTGCATCCACAATTAGATGGTTCAACAAGACAATCAAGGAACATCACTGCAAAGAAGTTGACAAGCATCAGGACGATTAGAATGAGCATATACCTCTATTTTTGGTGGCATACAGGTCAGCCGTACATAACACAACAGGAATTACACCAGCTAAACGTTTGTTCGGGAGGGAACCTCGCTGAAAACAAGATATGATCTTAAGGCAAACTCTAAAGGTTTCCAGGGCCCTCAATTTTTTTTGCAATCTTTCATCTTCCAGTACTATTTAAATTAAAGCCTAGGAAGAAAATGTTACGAAAATGAATCGACTCTCAATTAGTATTCTAGGAAATTAGATGTTTACGTCTGGAATCACGTCTTCTCTGGGAACTGTATTATATTCCATAAGCAAGTTTTTCTAGTTAGATTCCGAGTGCCATTTCGACTATAAATACCGTGTAGTAGTAAGTTTTGAGTTTGAAATAAGAGCATTGTTGTGTCCAGTTTAAATGAGATTGTTCTTGTAGTTAAGTTTAAATTCGTGTTGTGTGTAAGTTTCGATAAGTAATAACTGATTTTATAAAGTCAATTTGTTTCAATAAAAGTTGCTGCTGTTTTTAAAGTGAGTTAAAGTGAACCCGGAATCCGTGACAATAACAAGGTAACTTAATCCACTCTGATACGATAAATTGAAATCCAGTTCACACTATTTTCAATTTTTAAAACAAACAATAACATAAAAAGGTATATACTTACATCAAGCCGACGATATCCAAGTCTTCGATTTCCGAGAAATTTTCTCGGAGATGTTCCAAAAGCTGAAAATAGAAAGTTTGTAAAAAAACTATTTATTTATCGGATTTATAAATTAAATATAAAAAGTGTAGAATTTTCAGTCTAAATCATGAAATCTTTGAAACATTTTTACTATTTGTTTCATGAATACAATGTTCAATAGATGTACTTACATAAGATCTTATGAAGGCTTTCAAATCATTCGGATCCAATACCGGTAAATTACCCAGGTGAAGAGTTACAAAAAAGCCTGGTTTTCCTAAAATAAAGAAAATATTGTTTCTCGAAAACCAATTTTCCTACTATGCAACATACCAAAGCCGTCGAGTTTGGCATTCAAACATCTACAAGCATTTTCCTCTTTGCCGACATAGGAGCAATTCTTTGAACAATTTGAACAATCTGAAAATAAGAACACTTTTTAAAACGTTTTCAAAAGAGACACTATTCTCACCAAAATATTGTTTTTTCGCAGTAACTTTTGAATTTCAATGTTTCATTAGAAGTAGGTATTGATAAAATTAGCAAAAATGTATGCACCTAATTAGCCTGGGACAAGTAGGTATAGTCCTGAGGTATAGTCTATCGATAGTCAAATGAGACAGTAAAAAAAATAATATTCCTTTGGCCGTCGGCGTTTTCTTTATAAAACACGGGCGGAGTAAGAGAAATTTATTAAAACAGTTTTATATAAAATAAAACATGAGGCGCGATACAACTCAAATAGGAATCAAATATATGAAAACTATCTACTGCACTGTTTTTTCAGACGAAACTGATTTGCAAGCGGCGGCGGCTTCAAAGAAATATGCCGCCAAAGACGCCGCCGCTTCCAAGAAATATGCCGCCAAATACGCCGCTAAAAAATCTAACCAATAAGATATTCCTGGAGTCAACGTTGACTGTATAAAACAACCAATAAGATGCATTGTTCGCACGTGGATTCGCATCCAATGTATACGGGCACGCTCAATATATTTTTCCTAATAATAGTATAATAATTTTAAGGGACAATACGATAATTTGAGGAGACCCCAATTTTTGCCTTGTCTCATTTGAGAAATGATAGACTATACCTATGTACTATCCCGTTTATTTTTATTTATTTCAAAGTGATTTCTATTTGTTGGTTTCATTATTCTTGTCTTGAGTCGTTTGAATGCTTCTTAATTTGGTATCAGAAAAATAATGTAGCTTTGTTAATATCAGGCTCCTTCTAAAAAGAATTCCATTATCCTGATTTTTATTTTTGTGATATCTGTTCATTAGATGAAACCTTCAAAGACACAACAAACCTTCGCAACAAACCGTCAACTCAACAAATAATTATACTTTCAAAGAAGTTATATTTCTAGTTAGACTAATCTCTGATACCTCCACATACAGCGAACCTAACGTTAGGCTTCTTATCAACTAATAAGCCAGGTCTCTACCAACGGAAAATATAAAAGAAATTCACTGGTAAGGGCAAGATATTATCTAACACTGTAAAAAATTGAATATAAAAGGAACTTAATAGGTATCAACACAGTGTTTGATTTAGCCATTTATATTCCTTAATTTCATTCAAATTCAAATCCGGAATCAAACCTAATCCAGCCAAATTAAATTACCGGTTGTCTATCATATTCATCAGCCTTTGACAACAATGGAAATTCCGTTGTACAACAAACGAAAAATAGCGTATTTAGTTACAAAAAGTGATTAAAAGCAGTCCCTATTAGCATACACCAAAAATATGTATACGTATAAAGCCGTTTGAAGAGTAAAACGGTAATACCTATGACTTGTAAACCGATATTTTATTCCCTGCATAATATTTTTTTATAAAACAACAACCAGAGCGGGTCCTTTTGCGATTGGCTAACGAATTTATTACATGACGGTGAAATTATTGAGAGTTTTTAAATGACAAATTTAGTATACGTAGGTACTAATAATAAGATTAACAAACCGCATATCAAGGTTGTAAACCCAGAGCAGAATCATCCGCTTTTAATATTAAAATTTAATATCCTCCAGCCGAGGCTGTCCTTATAAAAAAGTAATACGCTTTAAAATTCTCTGCTTCGAAGCTTTGAAGAAGTTTTCCTTTAAAACTTTTCGTGGTTTCTCAATAAAAAAAAATTCAGAATAAATAATAAATACATCTCATCTATCGTTTGCAGAAAATTATAATTAGTGAAATTATGTTATAGAAATGACTGCACCTCACTATCGTATTTACCACTAAGAAGTTTTATAATTCACGCATGCGGAGTATTAAGTGTTATGCATTACTGGAATTATACGATACTTTTTCGATAAACAATATTCATAAACATGTTATTAAAAAACGGCTCGTCAAAATTGAATACAAAATATATGTCAAAGGGCAACTAGAGTTTGAGTCAAGGGGAAGCCAGTTTAAATTTAATTCAACTTAAGCTTTTTTATTTTAAGAATAACTCTATCTTACACCCTGTTAAGTTCGAGCCATTATTTCCACTTGCACAACCGTATTGAGAGCAATTTTAGTAATAATTTGCATCATAGGGTTTTATGCATTCAAGTAATGTGGTTTTCACTGCTCGCTGGAGAGCTAGACCTTTCAAAGCTAGGCCCTCAGTCTAATTTTAACTAACCATCTAAGCTTTGTAAGTTTGTGCTTTTGGCTCAATTAATAAGCGTGACTCTCTTCACAGGGTGGTTTCGACTTAATTAATAAGCGTTACTCTCTTGACAGGGAGCTTCCATCCAGACTCATACTTCTTCTTGTCATAACTATCACTTTGATTATCTTTTGAAATATTCTATAACGAACCGACCTAATTAAAATAGTCTTTTGAAAGGGCCAAATCGATTTAGAAACAACTTTCTTCTACTTTACGAAAACTTAAAGAAAACTTATGGTACTTGATCGAGCCCAACACATCAATAACCCTCTGGAAAGCTTTCATGATAAACTCAGATCCTTAAGGAACCAACGATACTACAAAAAAATCTTCTAAATATGATCACTGGACTGATAGGAGTAAGAACTTCTAAACTTAAAATTAGAAATTATGGTATTGGTGAAAATTTGATGACGACTAACTAACGAAAGCTTAAATCGGGTCGAATTAAGTCCAAAAAAACACTTCCGCCTTACAAATTACAGATTCGTGAAAGCCCATATGCTTTCGATCCCTATTTGGGAACAAGTTCTGGAAACAGAGCGCTTCTAAGTCAACGAAGTCAACCCATTGGTCAGTACTTTGACTAAGTCGTTTCTAGGACAATTGCTAGCTGTATTTGGTTTCTCAAGTCGTTCTAGTAAGTCATCTCTTCTCTTTTCGTACTGTTCTGTTCCCTATAGGTATCGGCCAACTAGTTAATGTGACGGTTCTAAGCCAGATGTGCGCCACATGGAAAGGGAGTAGGAAGCTCCACGATAAAGTGCTTAGACGTTGTAGTCAGAACAGAGAGAGGATGATAATTGGGAGAAGAAGAAGTAGTACGCTTAGTAATTAACGTATTATTTTCAAGGATTTTAGGTAAAAATTTGCCACTGCCGTAAATAATTCAATCTCGTTATTTATCTATATGTATAATGTGGCCTGACCTGTATCGAAATACGAACGAGGAAGAGATTAACATTAATTTATCTTTTGAACCCTCGACAATACCTATACTATATTATGAGGATATTAAGGTTTCGAAATAAAACCCTTATTTATGTTTCACATGGGGATTTCGCCTTGTGAGGTAGCTCGTTATGTGAATGTTATTTTTGTGATCTTTGAGGGCGGCTTGAATAAATTGCACATTTTAAAAGAATTTGTCAATACGCTCCATGGTTCCATTACCTTCAACATGGAAATGTAAGTAAATCACAGAATCCGTTTCCTAGATTTGCTTAAAACTAGGTCACTCCACTCAATTGATCTAATCTGGCCATCCATCATGAACTTATGCTAACACGGACAGTGCCTTACGGTTGAGTCATCCTTTCATCGAGAACTGAGAACATAATATGGCTGCTTTTAATTTCTTCTTCTACATATATGTATATTGATCAACATATCTACCTTTAGGAGAGGGATGTTTTTTTTTTTTTTTGGTTGAGCGATCTGAACATAATCAAAAGGATTGGTTTTTATTTTCATTTATTTCCTGAATTTTATTTCATTCAACAACAACAATAATAAAAAGCCAGAAGATGATGATGAAACAGTATGCAAGTTATATTAACCAATTGCCATGCTGATTTATAATCAATTATCAATTTTTTATATGCTTTAATGTGCTTACCCCTTTCCTCTAGGATCATCAAATTGCTATGTCGGCATTAAATGTTTATTTAAGCCGATGCAGTCCCATAAGGAACGTTCATTTGTTTTCTGGCTTTAGCCTGTAGCAATTTGATCCGAATATTTTCTTTTGTCACCTCTGTATTTTAATCAATAAAATAAATGTTTTTTAAAATACAATTTTCTGAATCGAAAATATAATTTGCATATAATGGACATGTGCGTCTGTGTAAATGCATATTGGGCTCATCAATGAAAGTTTCCACTAATAATATTGGCTACCGTTATTATCTTATTATCGAAATGAATTATAACCACTTTTACCAAACATTTGAAGAGTAAGATTCTGTCCCCGTCTGACAATTACTTATTAAATATTTTTCGATCAGTTGTTTGGTCCTACATATCTATTGAAACTTAGAACTCAAGATTGGATGAATTGTGGATTGTAGATTGCGTGGGAAAGTCGTTTTGGGTATTGCAGCCTCTTGGAATTGCTATTTTCCCATATATTTCGTACTTAACTCTATATCTGAATTTGTGTCCAAGAAATTAAGGCTTCTTTCGAAAAAACCTATTTTCTCAGCTTACTTCTTGGGGTGTTGGCAGTACTCCTTCGAGGTACTTGATATTTTTTCAAAGTTAGGCCGGGCAGTCGCAGAGTATATGTTTTGCGGTTTCAGCTGCAGATTCGCAAAATTTGAAGTTGTCTTCTTCTGCCTTTCCAATTGTTTTTCATTGACATTTCACTGGGCAGTGTCCTGTGAGCAGTGTTTATGTGTAGGAGTTATTCTGCTCTCTTTTGTGATGTGGCGATGAACCTTTTTGCCAGTCGCAGTCCTGGTTGTCTCCAGTATGTGGACAATAGACCAGGCATCCACATCATGCTTACCTGGTTGCGCATCGTAAAGGGGGTGTGCGCCAAAAAAACAACTTCATCTCAAAAAAAAGAGAAAAAAAATCTAAGAATAACAGTGAAAACCACATCCCTCTATGACAAATAATACTGAAGACATAGCTCTATGAAGGTACCGAATCTCACCCTATGACGTCACGAAAGCTCAAGCGACGCACGAGAAAGTGAAGTAAATTGAATTTACATTATGTTTTTCCTGTGTCACCTGCAAATAA